CTAGTCCTCTGATCAGTCTGACAGATGGGTGATCACACATGAGGGCTTCCTTCAGGAGAAAATGAGAGCTTGCAAAGAACTAGTGCATATACCTAGGTTTCTCTTCAGTGTATGGGATATAGCCATAGTGCACAAACACCTGGATTCAGGAGCTGAAAATGCTCCTGAATCTGCCAGTTGGGATACACCAACTTTTTCTGAAAAAATATATAGGATATGAGTAGAAGGCCATCACCCAGTGTCCATAGAATAACTTTAAGAACATGAGTAGAGGCTACATGGGTTTGCAGCTCATGTTTTCTGAAGTCAGTGATAAAGCTTCCATTAATTTAACTTAACTGGTACGATCAGCCCCCTGACGAATATCTCTTAGTGGTAAGTCAAAGTTCATTAAAAACTTGGTAGGGCCAGTGCAGTAATAGCTTAAATAGATTTTGTGGTGTACTGGCAGCCACCGTGAGAGAACAGCAGGTATGAACCATGCATTAGTCTGTACAATACATTGCCCTGGAAACAGGACTTGTTATACAAGATGAAATTTGATAATCAGTCTCATCGACATATCAGCAAGCAGGGCATTAAAATAATCTAATCCAGGGAACATAAAAGCCTGAATGAGCAATAAGAAAAGCACATTTATTTCAACTAATGATAGGAAGCCTTAATCTTTTAACTGCAATCCTGAAAGAAGAGCTTGCAATCAAAAACCACCTGAGGTTTTTAACCAATGAACCTGGGTTGAATTTTAAAGATGGGTTAGAAGTTCAAGTCAGTTTGGGTTGACAGCATGAGCCAGCCAATGAACATCTCAGTTTTGTCTGATTTTAACTGAAGAAAATTGGTGCTCGTAGAAGCTTTTATAGTCACCAGCTTGTCAATATGGTAATAACATAGTTTGAAATTGCTGGTTTGGTTGACAAATAGATCTCTGTCTTGTCAGCAGAGAAATGAAACCCAGCATCATGCCAATGAACAACCCTGTATACAGGCAGCTTGGGATTGCTGAGTAAGAACAGGGCCAAAATGGAACCCTACAGAGCATGGGAAATAAATGCTCTAAAAGGACACAAATTACCCTTGAAAATATAATGCAGGTAACTGTTGGATAAATATGATTTAAGCCAATTTAGAACTGTGCCAAACAGGAAGATAAAGTTTCTCAGGCATTCAAGAAGAACATTAAGGTCTAGCAAAATGAGAGTAGCTGGAGAATGAGAGCCTGTCTTCAGGGGAAGGTTAGAGCTCATTTCTGTCTTGCTGAAAATTTTATATGGTAAAAACCCCACACAAAATAGAGAATTTCATTCCACACTCACTGAAGCCAATGGCAAACCTTTAATGTACTTTGGTCATGCTGGATTATGGGGATGCAAAATAAGAAAGTAATTCATAGAGGGAGTTTTTGCTTTGTGTTGTGTTTCAATACAGCTTTTTTTTTCAATATAAAAAACAGAATTTGTGCAATATTTTAATATTTTTCATTTTACCACAGAAGAGACTAGAAGACAATCACAACAATTGAGTGAAACATTCTGCAAATCTGATTTTGACCAATTTTTAAGAATTTGATAAAACATTTAACAGGTTACTTGTAATCTTCTGGTTTACAGATTTTCTTGCTACTAGAAGCATTATGGCAGGATTGGAGAATGTTGACAAAAATTCAGTTGAATATCAGTCCACTGATATTTCAACTCTCAGTTAAGAGACAGGGAAAAGAAGGAATGGAAACTTGTAAGAGAACAGCTGTGTTATAGGAAGAAAGGCTAAATATCCTCCTCTTTTAATCCACAATTTAAAAAAAATAAAAAGCAACAATTTTATATATATATATATATATGAAGGTGGGAACTGTGAAAAAGCTGATGAGTCATAGAAAACAGAATTACATGTCTTCATGTCATGATTTACACCGTGTTTTACTCATAAATCCTAGTACAGCTTATTACTAGAATCACAGTAGATCACTGATACTGGGAAAGAGAATTTCTCTGCAGAACAGTGAGAATCATAACACAGTAAATTGTTTCTGCCTTTTCTTTTTCTATATAGAAAAGAAGTGAACAAAAACTATTTACAATCAAAAGAATAACTAGGGAAATACATTAAACTATTTGTTTCAAAAAGCCAAGAATTCATCTGAATTGTTGCTTCATTTATTTGCTTTCTCTAAGCATCCATATGAACAACATCAATCAGATAGCATGAGTAGAAAATTACAAATAACTAGTACATAAAATGGCTTGGGAGAGCTGACTAAATGCTTATGGATTTAATTAATTTATACTGTGTCAGCCTGGCAAATGTATCTTTATTAATTATTTGTTAAATAATTGTGAATAGTGTTCATGTTTTCAGGAGTTTAAATCTGCTCTAGACTAACCACACAGACACTTTTTTCTTCTGAAATACATTTTTTCAAGGAACATTTTTTGTATATTTCCACTGGTATATATTTAAAAGTTATTAGGGATATAGGGATATAGAACGTAACATATTTTAGAATAAACTTGTAAGGAGTCCTGTGAGTCCTTACCCTTCCATTAAGAAAATTAGCAATAGTGTTAAAGAGCTGATGTATCAAGAGTTCCTCTACCATTTATATTAAAGAAAGGATTTTAAGGAATGGAGTAATTTTAAATAGGGTTTGTCAGAAAAACATTTATTCATTTGTATTCTGTATGGAATGAGAGTATTCTGTTTAAACAAAACAAACCAAAAGTAGGCACAGCATCAGATTTGACAAAATTCAACATGAAACCATTTGAAATATTTCTTTTTCCTGCTGGTTGACCATCTGATTCCTCAGATGGGGGAGGAAGCAAGAAGCAGGAATCCCTAGGAGTACAAAATTCTCCTCCCTCTTAAGAGGGACTTCCAAGTTCAGGTTTCTTGGAGTATTTTATTAAGAAAACAACATTAAGGTCTCGGCTTTCCAAATTAATTGTACAGTTGGCAATATTTTAATAATTTTGGAGGATTTAATGTTGCTTCTCAGTGCAAATAAACATGAAATGACACTTTCAAACTATTCACAAAATGTAATTCTTTTTCTCCACTCAAGGTTTTACGTTTTTAAAAGTTGTTTTGGCCATTGTAATGCAGCAAAATGGATGTTGTTCAAATGAAGAATGTAACCCACAGATTCTCTGTGCTAAGTCATCAAAACTCAGAATAAATTTTCATGGATTTTTTAATTATATATCAGAGAAAAAAGATGCAATTATTTTAAAATTGGAATAATATCTGTAGAAATAGGTTATAGTATCTGCTGTTTATATATGCAAGCATCCCCATGTTCTTACTCCTTCAAAGCATGAGTAACCTTGGCTAGGCAGTTCTCTAAATATATAAGTTTATATATAAAATTCTCTAAAATATATACAAAAAGGTTGGTAAGAGAAATTTCCCAGTTCTATGTGGAATGTAACTTATCGGAACAGAGCTATTGCTATCTGGTTTATGGTGAGCTGAATCACTCCTGTGCTTCTGCCAGCTTTACATCATGTGTAAAATATCGGTACGATGATCAACAGCATCAAAGCTGGGTTTGTTATATATCTTATATTTAGTGAAGTTAATGTCTCCTAATAAAATCTAGATGTTTGTATGCTAATAAAAATATTCAAAGATATATAGTTGGATCAGTTATAAAAGCTCAGCTAATATTATTCTGATAAACTAATAACATAAAATACAATCAAGCAGAAACTTATCTAAGCTTACATGGTCCAGTGACTGGAGTTCCTTAATTTTTTTTATACCCAATTTAAATGGATTATACCATTAGACATCTGTAGGTAAACAGAAGCAGTAATCACACATGACTAAATCTGTGATGATACATAGGTAAGCATCAATTTTTTGAGAATATTTAATGCTCAGAACTGGGCCCAGGTTTTCTAAACAGTCACTTTTTAAATACTTAGCCCTACAAACCAGATGTTCTTTCAGAATTACTCAGTTAGTACTTTTCTGAGGGATTTCATTACTGATGTTAGGAAATCCTACTACTGTTGGGTAGTAGTACATATCCTTTCTTTTTCCATTATGCTTTTTGTGCATTTGTGAAAATTGTTAAGTGTGTGTTTTTCCTAAATAATATATTTTTCTTTCATTATAAAACAACAAAATCATAAAGATGTTTAGTACTTCTGAATTCCAGTAATCTCCTGAGGCCAGTATCTTTCCTTCATCTCTCCAAATCTCACAATGAAAAAAAGAAAGGAAACAATCATCAACTTACAAAAAAGAAATATTACAGATTAATACAAAAGATAAGATGCTACTTTGTCATTTAAATATCATTATTGTGTATTTCATCAATAATTTATCCATTCTTATGTGGTATGGGGACCAAGCCGGCTAAAGTAAGGTACCCTGTCCCCCTTTAGAAATTTGATACTTACTTTACACTCTGGTGTAACTGAAATCAGGTAAAATAAATCCGGACTTGCCTATTTTACCTTTGTTGTTAAATAAAATAAGCAATGATTTATTATTTTTCCTTACAAAAGGAGAAAATAATAAAGAAATAAAACCTCTGACTTAATGTAACCCAAGCAAATGTTCCAAGTTAGTGGATGGGTAGAACCATAGCTTAAGTGTATTAAAATAACTTGCATTTTATGTTATTGGTTTTCTGTCAAAGGTTGTCTTGTTCATAAGCTAATATGTGGGGTGGTAAATATATTTAATAAAAATACATGAGATACAGTTTAGCTTAACACAGCAGTTTCATTTACTTGAGCCAGAGCACTTAAGATCATTTGCACTGAAGAATATTATTGCAATTTTAATATATAATTAAAATGATCATATATTATAAAACATTTACCCAGTACCTGTATTATTTTGAAGGGCAAACACAGGACACTTCAGCTTCATTTTTTTTAGCTGCTTCCTTATGGTCCTTTCCAGAACTTTATTCTTTTGCAGTGTGGTACTGGCTGCCAGATCACTGCATGTATAATTTGAACGTACTGTTCATTTTATTTTAGAACATGCTGTTTCAACAACATGGCTTGTGTCATCATGAGATCTGCGAGAAAGGGTTATCCAGATTTTACGTTAGACAGCCAGGAAAACAAGGCTGTGAAACAACACTGTAACTGAGAGTAACTTCTGAATGCAGATTGTGAGAGAGGGCACGACTCTTCAGTCTTCATTCAATCTCTTATCACTGAGATAGGGAACATCTTTGTCAAAGAAAAGTCTGGTGAAGTCTGGAAGGAAAATGCATGTTCTAAATGGTTTCAGCTACATGCATGTGACCTTCTTAAATGATATGTTTGCATCGCCATCAACCCACAAGTAGTAACAGTATTTTCAGTGTTATACCTGCTCTACCAGTACTTTCTTGCATCAGATTAAAGGTAGTGTCTCCAGGCTGGTTGTTTTCTGGATGTGCCTTCGCACTACCAGGAACGTGACTCATCAGAGCAGTGTTCTCAGAAGTATATTTTACATGTTTGCTTGTGAGAGTGGGATGGAATCGCAGAAAGTACAGGATGTGTTCTTCTGGCTAAAACCACCCAGATTTTATTCTTCTAAAATAATAAATACAAAGCAGTCATATCAACTTAGTACATGCCTCTATGATTCTCCCATGAAAGGTGTCACAGGGCTGAAAGTAGTATTTATTTCTTGCCACCAAATATAAGACTCAGTGGTATTTCCTGCCTATGGTCTAAGGACCTCCACCCCCAAAAAAGCATATGGTAAAGTAAGTCTCACCTTAGCTCATGCCTCAGAACAGATACAGCATCTTAGAGGCATGGCCAAAACTCAGCAGATGCTGCAAGCATATGATTCCTACATGAGCGTTTATATGGTACAGCTGTCTTTAAACGTTTTTGTAATTGGAAAGACTCCAGCATCTGGTCCTTTGCTTACTACTCTTAGATCAAATAGTCGTGGTCTGAAGTCTACTTTTAAACAATGCAGAAAAAAAATGAAACCAAAACCTTAAGGCTCTAATTCATATGGTCTGCTTCAAAGTACTGGTAAAAATATAAGTAACCAGTGTAATAAAACAAAAGAAGTGGCAAACAATTGCAGTAAGGAATGATACGAGTTACACAGGCATACAAACACCTTCATCATTTTAAAAGTAGGTATGTAAGCAACAAGTGGTATGTACTCAGTTACACAAATTACTCTTCCCTTTACATATTATTGTGTAATTCAACTCCACCTCCAACAGTTGCAGATTTGCTGCTGTCATGAACAAAGGAGGCTATGTGCTATGATATACCATGCAAAAACCCTTGCCCCGGATGACTTTTTCCTGATAGCACTCATAGCGTTCCCATTAAATTCACTTAATCCTAAATAGTACTTCTGAAGAAAGGCAGACTTTTCCACCATACTGCTTCAGATTTATGGATGCACACTGATAGATACGTAAATATTGTTTATCTAGGCAATCCTGCTCTGAAGTCAATTATTGAATAAATAAGGATCATAATGTTTCTATTTATTTTGTGTACCTACAGAAGTTCTGAAATACAGGTGATTTAATCCTCTGTGAAGGCACCTTTGAAACAGTGAGTAATCTGACATATTACATGAATTGAACTAGGCTGAGTCAAGGATAGAATTTCATTATTTGTCTATGTAAGGCTGACAAACTGTTTTAGAGGAAGAATCTGTCTGGACATCAGTTTGTGTAAAACTTCTCGACCACATCCTAAGCTTTTCACATCATGACTGGATGCCATAAAGCAAGGCCTTAATTATTTTGATTGAAAAAGGTAGTTTCAGAGCTGTTCGTCTTTTGAGGGGCTGAGAAAGCCTTAAAGAAAAATCAAAATAACAGCAACTGTAGTTCTCCCAAGCTCTTCAAAGCACTTTATGTGATTTAAAAATAGGCTAGCATTAGCTTTAAAATGTTTGGGAAACATGTAATAGCATTTGCTTTTCTAAATGAATATGTGTCGTTACCTCGTGGCACAGACCTGTGTGTTTTACTTCAGCAAGACAAAGTTTGTTACTGGAACTGTGGCTTTGTTCAGCTTTTTTTAAAATGCATTATAGTAATTATCCAAATTGTCAAAAAAAAAAAAGTTGAGCGTACGTCAACTATTTATTTCACTATTTTTGAAATGGTCACAGATTAATTGTGTACTTCAAGAATGTCAGAATCACAATTATAATTTGATTTTGATAGAATTCCTACTGGGGCAAAAATGTACCTTTCTGTCTTGAGATTTCCTGTTAGCAATTGTAAAGAGGGTATGTGTGTACCATTATGTATTTTTATAAACATAAAAAGAAGTGGTTCATTGAAATTACCAAAGTACAGCAGCAACAGCTCTCCATTAAGTGCTTGCAATTCTGGAAATGAGTTCTAATACAAGCTCTATAAAGGTGTTTTTCTCTTCCAAGAGCAATCCAAAGGTAGTTTACATTTTCCTGTCATAATTTGCCTTCCATTTACAGGCATCATAGAGTGATGAATTCTTCTCAAAGGAAAAAACCTGAAAAAAGTCCCCTTTTGGGACAATCTATAACAAAGTGAAGGTATAGACACCACCTGCAGATTGTATATAGGTGGGTAACATCGGTAGGTGTACGTCTTTCATACTCGGAGAGTCAGTGTGTGCTCAAGTTTGGTTGAGGACTGCACAGGAAGAACCAACAAATAGGCTGAATTCACTGGGTGATGGACTTTTTCGTTTACATGTACAGTGTATTTATTTTGTATATTATTTGAATTCCCATACTTTAAATATGAGCAAGTGGCACAACTCAGTATGATATGAATATTAGTATTGGAGATAACCTCCCAAGTCATACATTGTATATTTAATACAGTCTCAGTTGATAGTACCATATCAAAACTTGTGTCCTCAGGCAACTAGGTTAACTAACAATAATGATTTGAACAAATATTCCATGCACACATTTTTCTGTTGCTTGCCCAAGATCCCTCATTTTGTAGGTCTCTCATCTACGCAACACATCCCCTAAGGTTAAGAATGAAAGAGGTCTCTACTACAGACACTCTTGAGTGAAATAGCAGCTAAATTGCTGGAGTAATGAAAAAAAAAAATTATTTTTCCCCAGCTAATTCAGCTGCTTAGCATTGAAAAAATTTTGAGATAAAGATTCTTCATTAAATAAAAACTTAAAGATTTTTTTTTCAATAAGAATTTGCTGATGAGCCTACTATGAAAATGAAAACCAAAACTTATTGTTTTAATGCAAGTATGATCAGGCTATATTATGAAATCTTCTCAAAACAAGAGACTCTTGTATAGACACTGTGACATGCAATAGCTTTAGAAAATGCTGCTGTGTTTCTGGAATAAAGTGGTTAAAAACACAGAATGATGAAGTTAACCTAAATCTTTCATTGGCTTAAAAAAATAGGTCAAGTAACACATTAGTAGCTCTGCTGTAAGCCTGTACACAATCTGTACATTCTGAAGTGAAAGATATTTTTCTTCACATTCCCACATTTATTTTCATTCATGATATCGCTAGGTTAAATTTGTTCTTTCCACAAACATGACTCTCTTTTGTGTTCTTTATAAAGTGGAGATCTGTATGTTAACTATATTACTCTTTTACTAAAAAAATTAGTCAAATGAACCATTTATATTTTTTTTGAGTTTTAGAATGTTGGCGTATGTTAATGCAGATATCATCACACAATTTATAAGCGACTTGTAAACAAAATAGGTTCTTTTCCTCAGTCTTTAACTTCTAGAAGTATCACAAAGTATTCTGTAATGCATTTGGCAAACACCATGCAAAGTGCCAAGACACAGGCACATAGAAAGATGTAGTAAAGGTCACACACACTTTGCAGCTTTGCCTATACAGCCAAGCTCAGCCACTATCTCTGCATATTCTCCTCTTTGGTGGGAATGAATTCGAAAGAGCAACTTGACATACCGTGCCATTTCTGACAGCAGAGGTTGTGGGGATGCCACCTACCAAAATGGAGGGCTGGCTCTCCTGGAAAGCTCAGCCCAAGGTTCGGCTTCCTCCCGAGCTGTATTTATTGCCACGTGAGCGAACAGCACGGCTGCGAGCAGCCGTTCTACCCCCGATTCCCGAACTGCTTCTGTGGGGGGAGCTGGGCATCCTCTCCCCAGCCCGCGACACCGGGGCAGTCCCTCTTAAAGGACTGTCCCCTCTCCAGGGCGCGGAGGCCGAGGGGGTACCGAGCCCTGAGGGCAGGGCCGGGGTAGGGAAACAGGGAGCCAAGGGGGGGTGGAGGCAGGGAGGGTGGCAAGGATGGAAGCAGGGCCCGGCCGGGAGCAGCCGCAGGTGCCGGCGCAGCGGCCGTGCGCTGGCGGGATCTTCGCGGGTTCTCGTTCAGAGAGAAAAAGGAAAAGAAAGTTTCTAGCGCATGTTTTTTGGAGAAAAGCATGAAAATATCGGCTTTAAAGCGACGAGAAATAGTAACGCCTGCCGCCCCCCCCCCGTTAGGCGACCCCAAGGGGGGGGAAAGGTGTTATTTTTAAGCCACCGCTGTTTTCATTAAATGCGAGTCCTCCAGTGCTATCGCTCCTAAGTTTGTTTCCCGGGGGCTCTGCGCCTTCAGTTGGATTAATTAGAGCAGGAGGCTACGAGAGCTGCCTACGTGCGCGGCGCTCAGCGGCTGCCAGCCCCGCCACCTCGGCCCCGGGAGGGGCGGGGGTTCATCCTCCTTCCCCCCGCCACCGTGCCCTCCTCTCCCCGCCCTCCCCTCGCTGCGTGTGAGAAAAGGGTTAAGAAAGTTGGCCGGCGAGATGAATGGTGCGGCGCGGGGAGGGGCCGGGGCTGGGGCTGGGCTGTGCCGCGGCGGGCGAGGTGGAAGGCGGGGAGGATCGCGGCTGCGGGTTAGGCTTTGAAAGTCAGCCTCGCAGGCATTGCAGCAGAGCCCCGAGACGCGGAGAGGACAGGAGCGGAGCTCGTCGTGTATGTGCGCGGGGCCGGGAGGGGGTGACGGACGCACAAGCAGAGAGACGGACGGACGGACGCGGGGGGGAGGCGTGTGGGGGAGAGGCGGCGCGTCCTGTCCTGTCCTGCAGCCGGGGAGCCCAGCCGCGGTCCTCGGCTCCGGGAGCCGCCGCCGCTCCTCTCCGCGCCGGCACCGGCCGCCGGGGCTGTGTGTGTGTGCCCATTGCCTGCGCGGGAGCCGCCGCCGGAGCCTCTCCCGGAGGCACCAGGCAGCCCGCCCGGGAGGAGCTGCTGCCGCCGCGGAGGAGAGGGTGCGCGGACCCGCTGCAGGGTGAGTGCGGCGCTCCGCTGCCGGCGGCCGCGGTGGCTGGCGGGGAAATGGCCGAGCTGGGCGGGCCGGGCCGCGCTGCCGGGCGGCGGCGGCGGGGAACAATGCCGGGGTGAGCCCGGCGCGGGGCTGGCGGTGGCGGGGGCTGTTTCCGGTGACGGCCGCTCCTCTGGCACCTCGCACAGCCGGTGCGAGCTGAAAGTTTGGCTGGGCAGGGTGGGCCTGGGGGAGCGGGAGGGACGGAAAAGTTATTAGTCTTTTCCCCCGAGACCCTTGAGTGTTTTCCCGAGCGCTGGCTGCAGGCCGGGGTCGCCGTTCTGGAGGGACACTCTCCTGCTCCTGCTTTTCCCGGTGTGCGTTTGAAGTATTTAAGGAGCCGCAAGCTCTGTGCGCAGCGGCTGCGGCGGCCGCCCGTGGTGCGGGGAGGCAAACCCGGCCCCGCCGCCTCGCCCGCCACCCCTCGCTGCCGCCCAGCTGCTCTCCCGGCAGCTGCGGGCAAGGCTACAGTCCCTTCTCGCCTCCCCCCGGCCGTGTGCCACCGCCCGCCCCGCCTTGACCTGCGGGCGAGCGGCCGGTGCCCGAGGTGCTTTTTCCGTCGCCTCTTGTCGGTGACAGGCGCTAGGCTCCCTGCTTCCCCCAAAGATGCCTTCTCATTGCCTCGGGCTCCTTAGGGACGTCGCTGTTTCCCTTCTAGACTAAAGGTTACTTTTTCCAGACGTGTTTTTGTGTCCCTGAAGCCCTTTAAAGGTGATTTTCATTTTCCGTTTTAATTGCCGCCCTCTCCCCTTTTCTCCCCACGGAACATGTTGTTTGAGGCTGTTCTTTTTAAGTGTCAGTAGGTGATTTAAGTTGGAAAGTGGTGAAACCTAAAGAAGCCTAGTGTGGACAAAATAAGGGACAGCTTTGTCAGGTGCGAACAGCCTCGTGTCTGTGCTGCACCTCTCGTGGATTCTGCATCGTGGATTCTGATGGTTTATTAGATTTTTAATTTCAGTAAGTCATCAGCTAAAATGCTTGAAGCATGTTGAAGTTCTGGTAGGATTGCTGGCTTTGGGGTTAAGTTGTTGTTAGGAAAGCTGAAGTGGAAGTTGTCCCTTCCTGCCTCATCTTTCTGGAATCTGGAGACTATATATTATTCCTTGTTTTATTTTGAGGGAACCTGCTTGCAGTGTCTGACAGCTCACAGGCTGATTAGAATTTAACTGAGTCATGGCACTATAAATGTTCAGAGATACTGTAAAGCTTTATTTAACAAAGAGTGCAAATCCAGTCTGCAAAGACCTGTGGAGAAGCAGTCACTTGTGGAAAGGAGGCAGCATATCCTTGAGTGAGTGGTAGAAAACACTTTTCTTTAATATTCAAATGCGATTTACTATTTCTAGGGCTGGCTGAACACAATAGAAAGTGGCACATTAAGATGCCATATGACCAAAGCCTTCTGAGCTGAGGATATCTGGTGGTTAAAATCGGATTTAATGGCAGCTGAGTAATCGTTGCTATATGGACAGCAAGATTTGACATCTCTGAGGGCAAAAGTTCTTGTCCAGACAGTGTTCGGGCAGGTTTGGGACTTTTGCTGTCTGGGGTTGATGTCTTCTTAAACTTGTGGTTGAGAAGTCTGACTTGTTATTTTATCAATGGTTTCTTGAGATAGAATTGAAGTTGACTTCAAAGCAAGGCAGCAAGTTTGTTGTGAGTGAAATGCTTTTTCTATGGAATGAGGTGGAAGAGCTAACGTGCGGTGACTGCCTGTTCCAGGTAGGAGTGAAAGCTGACCTGTTAGACTGGACTACAGTGCCGAGTTACCTGATGAGCGAGAGCTGTCAATAGCATTCAGGTTTGCATAGAACTATGCATGCACCAAGTACAAGATGCTGTCAAATGCCAAACTGTACTGGTGGGATTTTAATTTTTTTCCCCTCTCTTAGACTTGGGGTAGGAAATTACCAGGTGGAAACATGTCTTTCCTTTCTGCTCCCCATACTTGTTTCTTTTTCTGAAGTGAGAGATGCACTAACCCAAATTTATTATGATCATAAAGACTATGTTGATAAAGTAGTAAAAGTGAACTAATGTTTTTATATAGTAAACTCAAATGCATGATTTAAATGTTGGCTGTGTCACCTGTGGTGTTTGATAGCTCTGTTTAGGGTAAATCTGTTCTATAAAAGGCACCAAGGAAAATGTGGGTTTGGTTTTGTTTTGTTTTGTTTTGTTTTGTTTTTTTAAGTGATTCAGTAAATGTTGTAGAACTCAAACATGAATTAACTTTATAGTGATCATATTTACCTGTAGGTTTTGCTTAATATGGGATTGGCTTAAAAATTGACAACAGCTTGCTTGCTTAAAGCTTGTTTTGCCTTTCCAGAGCTAACTTTCTTTTTCTGGCTTTGAACATTGGCATAAGGTTTCTGTCATACCAGCTGTATTATTGTTAGCAGTGAGAGTGCTGTTAATTTTACCAGTGACAGTGCAGGACACTACTAAATCAAAAGATAAACTCTTTTTGTGTTGTGCCGAGCACATGTATAAACCTGCCCAAGGCAAAGCCAAGGAGTTGCATTTCCCACAGTCAGCTGCCTTGCTCAAGGGTTGAGCTTGACACCTCCTTGTAGGGATATCCAAGATGATGCGAAGGCTAATATTTTGTTCAGTTTAGAATAGCTCATTGGAACTTGCCTGAACCTCAAAACCCAAGTGGCTTGTGGTTTGGGTTCCCCCCCCCCCCCGTATGTGAATGTACAAGGGAGCAGAGGGAGTCCAGAGCAGAGACTAGGGAGAGTGTGGGGATCCTAGCTGGGTGCCTGGTGTGGGGGCACAAGCCCCTTTGCTGCTGGGTGGCACATGCTGGATGATGAGCAATAGGTGGGATAAATAGGGTAATTATCCTATGGATTAAAAAAGGATAAATACCCTTTTGGGAAAAGAAGTGCAAATTTTGAAGGATGAATCATTATTGCTCAGCAGGGGTTTAATGACAGGCAAGTGAAAAGATAATGTAGGTAGGGAATGAAGACTGGGCAGGAGGAAAAGGTATGAAAGAATATTCACAAATGTATAAAACAGATAAAAACCATAAACTTGAGAGTCTGTCTAAACAGTCTTAAACTAAAGACATAAAGGTTAATGGTAACAGTGTTTGTGGTTTGCTCTTTCTTCCTGCCAGTAGGCCAAAATGATAAGAACAGTAACTATCTGAACTGTGTTGGCCTGCCTATGGCAAATGTGAAGAAAATCGAGGGAAGTATTTAAAAGGCTTGTGTCGTTGCTTTTGGCTGTTATGGTGTTAAGGTTTTGCTAGCTGCATTTGAAAATGCAGTTAGAAAAGAAGGTATTATGGGTGGCAGGCAGTACTTCAGGTGGATGTCTGTGACTGTGTAAAATCTTTCTTGCATTCTTTGGTGGGAAGATCTGCCTGAGGAGAAGCAGGCAGAATTCTTTTGGTAAAGGTGAATGCCCGGGCTTTAGTGTTTCTAGATTATTTATTTCACATACTTAGAAACATTAACAGGCCTATTTAGCACTTGAAAGAATTATAATTTGGTAATTTGTTTGGCTGACTGTTGCAGGTCGATTGGCTTGATGGTTGAAGAAGGAGAATTGGAACTAAGACTCATGTAAATAAATGATTCATGTGTAGGAAGGGGAAGAAGCTGTTGCTAGCCATCTTAGTTTGGGTCAGCCCCCTCCTGGCATAGTCTTTTCATGCTTAAATTGTTACTGGAGTTCATTGCTCCTGTTTAGTTGCTTGTCTTGAGAGAAACTGTTTTCATTACACTTATTTCTAAATAACACTGTCTTCAGCAGAGGAAAACCAATTTTGTTTATAAACAAAATCAGATTAAAAGGGGAAGCTACAGAACTTCTGTTAGTCACCAGTTTCTAAGTGGTTGAGTTTAGTGTAGAAAAGAAAGTCTGTTTTGGGGGAAGACTTCTGGTGGGCTGCTCTTCCCCCTGTCGAGAAAGAAAATTACAAGGGAGACATGAGAGATCAAGTGCTAGGTGTGAAATGTGTTTTGGTCTCAACAGAAATTGTTATTTGAAAACAAATAAGGAGTTTAGTGAATTTCTGTTGTAAAATGTGTCCAAGTAGTTTTCCTTGCTTGCAAGAGAGCAATAGCAGTAGTTTTGTTCTTGTTAGTGCTAGGCTGGTACTGCTGCTCAGATGCTGGCATTTTCACAGTGAACTTTTTAAGATTTATGGCTATGGAGTTTCTACTTCTCTGTGCCCCACCCCACTGAGAAAATGGAGTGGGAAAGGAAACTGAAAAGGCTTTTCAGTGGTAGAAAGGAAGGCTTGCCTCCGAGGTAGAAAGAAATGACCATTCTTGCCCCAGGAGACTGTCCTGTTGATGATGTTCATGTCATCACCTGTCCCACTTGCAGCAGTTCATAATATATATAAAATTCAGCATTCAAAAGAACTATTAAGGTGTGCAACACAAGTGAGGTGAAGTTTTGGGGAATAAAGTATTATTCTAGGCTTTCCTTTTTCTGGGTTGTTGGTGTTGTTTTTTCAAGTATTAGTGAAGGAATATGGAATTATCTGCCAGAAACAGCAAATTCTTTTGTGTCTCTTGTTCTGAACTCTTGCAGACTTTTAAACCTGCATTTGGGACAATGCAGGAAAGGCTGTCTAATGCTGACCTAAAGGAAGTCCTGTCTATACAGTGGACCCTGATGGCAATACAGTGTGAGGTGTTTGTTGTGTTTCCCTCCCACTAAATACAAATTTGTCTTCTGTTGAAAGTAGAACTACTTAAATAAAGCCATTTGGCAGTGATCAGGAAAAAAAAGTTTGTCTACATCTATACTATAGAAGAAAAATACTGGTGCTATTTTTCTTGAATTAAGGTGACTTGAAAAGGTGAATATATTTTTAAGTGCTGCTTCCTTCTGCTCTGAGGGACCTCTTCCATTTTTCCTTTGGTCACAAAAGATTTCACATCCAGCTTGTTTGCACTTTCAGTGAAATGGGATTGGAAAGGCTTTGAACTATGTTTATTACCACTTTCATTACTCTACCTATCATTTCCATGTTTATTTTGACTGCAATGATAGCTTTTTTTTTTTTTCTTTCCCCTAATTGAATCCAAATGTTGAGGATTGCTACTGTTCTGTGGTGCAAACTGTCTTTTTATTTTGTGGTGTGCATAGGGGAAAGATTTGAAATACTGTCTACATGTAGTATTTCAGAGTATTGACTACTTATTTCAGCTTAATTAGCTCTATTGCTTTTGTTGGGTCTTGATGCTGGCAGTAGTCAAGCATGCCTCTGTTATTTCATATACTTGAAACCTTTGAATAGGTCTTCCTTTGGATGACCACCCGTCTATCAACACCTGTTGGTTGGTTGGGTTTTGGTTGGTTGGGTTTTTATTATTTTATTTACTGTATTTTCTTATTGGTTCCTCCCTAATGTAACACATAGTAGTGGTCAGAGTTAGATGTTTTTCTCTAAGCTGGCATTAGCCCAGGTGGTTTTGTGGCAAGGGGAAATGCTGAAGGCTGTCCACAGTGCACATGCTTCCCACTCTGCCTCTCTCCACCCTGTGGACCCAGAGCTACCAGTGGGGTCCTCTATGCTAAAGAAACCCTGTATTTAAAAGGCTTTTGTATGCAAGTTTTGTGAGAGCAGAAGCTAAAAGTGTGGAAAAGAGGAGAGAGCTCTCGCTATGCAAACCAGGAGAAGGGGAAAGTTCAGCCAAACAGGGGAGAAAGTGTGTGTCATATGTGTGTGTGTGTGTGTGTGTATATATGTATGTATATACACATATGTGTTTTTTTTAATGTGTCATTTGTTGGGGGGGGGCTTGTTTGTTTTTCTTCAACTATATTTTTATTGTAGTTATATTTGCCTCTGTGCGGAATAAATGTGCTCTTTGGGTAGTACCTTGGTGGCACAAGATTTAACGTATCCTTTAATAATGTGACTTGTCACAAGAACAAGGCTAAAGCAATGCAAATAACAATGACCACCAGGGCTAGCTGTAAGTTTGCATCTTCTAGCAAAACTTAGTAGAGAAGTGGTGAGAAGAATTTTTCAGGTGGTACTTGTGATGAATAACGTCTTATAACTATAATATCATGTACTATATAATTCCTAAACGTATCAAAAGCAAATATTGTAATTTCTACTGGGTTTTTTTTTTTTAACTAATTTTGCAGTGTTTAGCATTACATTCACCAGTTATACTGTGCTCTTTTCCTTGTGTGTATATATATTTAAAAGAATAGGGGCTCTTTATGATTTTGACATTTGTAGGTGCAAGTTTGAAGTGTTAAGCAGCTATTACTGCATAGGAAGGAGGGCTTTCATGTCACAGCTGGTTTTTGAATGGAAAGAAGAGAGTGGCTTTGAATCAGTTGAACATGGATTTTGTTCTTGCAGAAATACTGTTGACTTAGTCAATACAAGTCTAGACAACGCCGTTTGTTTCTACTTGTATTACTGATGGTTTCGTTTGGAAGGCTTTGATTTCTGAAGTTTGGAGTTATGTTTTTCTTCTGAATAGAAATGTTATTTGGCATTCTTGCTAGCGGTTTAAGCATTGCATTCTATTGCACCAACAATAAGAAAGTAGTATATTGGATATGAAAAATCAGTGTGTGGACTTTCATAGGGCAATTTCTGCTGTTTTTTTCAGATAAAGCATGGAATTGTTAAGGAAGAAAATTAATGCATCCTTGGACTCCTGAAGGAAGAGCTTTCCCGATGGGACAGCTTTCAAGGTAAATAATTTGTCTGGGTTATTTACCTTGTCTCATTGTTTTGGGGTTGCTTCTTTTTGTTGCCGAATCAGGCAACAGGACAACAGGCTGCTATGTACAAGCCTTTTAGTGTTGTAATATGTTTTAAGTGATAAATTTTCAAGCTAATCCACCTCTTTTACTGTAAGAATTTTTTTTTAATTTTATTTTGTTGGTTTTTTTTTTTTTTTTTTTTAGAGTGTACTGATTAAGGAGAAATAAATATTTTTGTAGCATTTGAACCTTTTGTGTGGAATTTGCTGATAAACCCTGAAGATTTAGCCTACTTGTTTAGGAGGTAGCTGCTAAATAGAGAACAATTTGATGTACATATAATTTCGGAATGAAAGAGAAGATTAAATAAAATTTACTGTGCTACAATCTCTTCTACTTTTTAAATAAAACATATCCAAATTGAGCTTCTGCAGCAAGGGACTGTCACCGTATAATCATTATTAGATATTACATTACAGTGGCTTGTAGACATTTAGCACTGCTGTCATTTTGTTTGGATCTGCTCCCTTGGTTCCCATTTCCTAAATCCTATTTTTCTTTGATACTGGGGAATAATTCCCTGAGTGTTGTCCAGTGATTGCTTATGTATATGCACTTTGGTTTGTGAGTAATTTTATACACTTGAGTAGCCCCACTGTACTCGGTGGGCCTACATACATGGCTAAGAACTTGAGAATCCTGATGAGCATAAAGAATACAATTTGGGCGTGTAATGGTTGACAAACAGTTGTTGTTTTGTTTCTGGTCTCTCTTAGGACTCATTTGCATTGCCTCCAGTGGCAACTTTTGTGAGCATTAGTAGGGAAGGTCTAGAAGCTGGAGGCAGTCACAGAAAATCCCAGCCTGCAAAATTTCTCCCATATCTGTCACAATGACACAGATTGCAGATGCAAGAATAAATCTTTCTTTTTTTTTTTTAATAAATAAATCCTTGACTTCATTTGAATATAGTGTTGTATAGCATTTATGTACTTTAGTTTGAGTATCTTCGACATAGTAGAATGTAGCAAAGTGAAATAATTAGAAAATATTGGCACTTTGCAAATTGGGGAGGTTTGGGCTTATTCAGAATCAGTGTTTTGGAAATTAAGATGAGGGATCTGTTCCTTCTCCCCTGCCCTCCCAATAATGTTTTGTATCTGACTCCCGAAAAATTAAAAACGAGTGTCTAGCATTGCTGTAGTGCTTCTAAGTTGTCTGAGTAATTGTATTTAAGGAAATTAACTGTGTTACTTGCTGGTCTCAGAATCAGTAAGATGGGCACTTTGGAATTAAAGCATCATTAATTAATTAGCTATTTACAACTTGAGAATTGTTGTGATCAGCAGCAGATGGTCACTTATACAGCCTTAACAGAATTTAGTAGACAGTGGCTTTTGTGACAACAGGCTTTTCAAATCTTTCATATCTTCAGAAATAGTTAAAGTGCTTCAAAGATTTGTTTCAAGATTGTCACCTCTGTTTAGAAGCAGTTCTATTTAGTCAGAGTTGCAGACGTGTAAGCTGTAAATGAGGGTCTGGCATCAAGTATTCAACTTACCAGTGAGGTGGTTAAGCTAAAGATTTAAGAAAGCTTGTTTGTCAGTGTATACATGGCTGGTGATCCTGATACAGTTTGCATTCTTCTTTTCCATTTCTAACCAATATTATAAAACAGTTACATGCTATGTATTGGGTTTTTTGGGGGGTGTTGGGAAACAGGTTGGTTTGTTGGTTATAAGTACTAATTGTAGAATACGTGTGTTGATATACAAGTGTGAATTGCATAGCATTATAAATAGTTTTAATGCGGAGTCATGCTGAGAGTTGGTCAGTGGAATTAGACTTCTTGTTTTAAGCTCTGGGCCGTTATGGTGGTCTTTCTCCAAAACAGTGCTGCTTTACAAATGTAACTGTTGATCTTACTGATGCTGTGTAACCTTCATGAAGTAAGAAATACAAGAGGGGAAGACTGATACAGTGTAACCTTCATGAAGTAAGAGATATAAGAGGGGAAGACAGTGGTGCTGAGCTTGAGCTTGCAGCAAAGGAAAATAATGTAGCAGCGATCTAAAATGTGTAACTTGTGTCCTTGTTAAGTTTATGCAAGTCTGCGAAACTTTAACTCACTTGAAGATACACTTACTGTTAGTTTTTAATTCTCATCTGTAAGTAGCAAGATTAAGGTGGTGACTCAGTAGGAACAAGGTTGTCAGAGGCAGCCTTTAATTGAGGAGGAATTGGTCACTGTATACCAATTAAGTCTTATTTTTAATGATAGGTTTTGGAGAACAACAAATGAGTGCAGTGTGATCTTGGCTGATAGTATGTGCTTTTCTTGTTGGACAAAACCGTAAAGCCTGAGGATATGAAATGGCAAACAGAAGTTTCACTACATTTTTTTTTCTTCCTCTGAAGAGGAAAAAGTAGACTGTGCAAGTAGAAGAAACTCCATGCTTTTGCTGTGGAACTGATTAGCTGATTAATTTGAGTATATTTTGTCTTTGGGGACTAGCACAGTGCTTCCATTTTTGTCATCATAGGAAATCTGGTGAAGGGATTGGTAACTTGCCGGGTGGAGAAACATCCCTCATTCTGTCTGTAGCTTGACATTTAATATTTTATAGCAAACTTAAGTTTAACATATTTGAACTTGTACTAGATAGGGTTAATAGGCTAGAACAAAAGGTCAAAGCATAAGGCATTAGGCTTAATTAAGGGAGAGCAGGAGTGGCAGGAGTATGTGACAGTTAAATGGGTTTCCCACAGACTAATGTCTGTTACAGTGCAACCATGCCTCAACTTAAGTGGGTTATTTTGTGCAAAGGGCAGCAGTGATTAGCAGTTTGACATGCCAGACGTTTCTGGCCAATCCCATCTGTTTTAGAGGTTAAAAAGCATACCTTTATGAGCTGATAGATTGATTTGTGTGCCTGTCTGGTAAAGATTAGAAGTCCAAGGCCGATGCTGTAAATGCCAGTTATAGAATATTGTACTTTCTTAGTTGCTCTTTGTTTAAACTGCTAACTGTGTTGTAATGGGGCTAACAGCTATAAAAGTGACCGTGCAACACGAAGAACACAGCAGGGCTGCTGCAGCGGCAAGTGTTTTGAACCAGAAAGGTTTGGGAGAAACACTTCCTTCTTGGTTCAGGTTTGTTTTGAATGCGAGCCTGTAGCATTTGGTCCCTTGCCAGTGCTTCACTTGGAAGGGGGATCTAGCTGAGTGTGCTACTCCTCAGAGTTCACACTTTTTCGTTCTAGCAGTTGTTGTTAATGTGCTTGTCCAGAGGTTACCTGCCTCAGCATGAGCAGTTTTCCAGTTCCAGACATGGTCAGCTACAGGAGAACTTCAGCTTTTAAAAGATTTTGGTATTTATCTTAACTTTGTTGTGCTTCTGTATCTTTCCCACTCCATTGCTGAAGTGGGATGATACATGTGTATTCTGTTGTTTTCTCCTTTATAGCTGTTACTCTCCAGATAGTTCCGGTGACTGCATTATGAGGTTGCCTTCTAAGCCTAAAATAAAATAGATAGCACAGTAAGTCTTGACTGTATTTCTCATCATCTTTATGACTTTGTAAAATCAAAGTTACATTACTATTAATATAAGACTATTAATAAATCGTTGATGCAATAAAACTGTTTTTGATAATGTTCAAGGTTCATACATAGTTGAAGGTGATAATCCTATTTTAAAATCAAGTAGAGGTCAGACTGTATTATAACGTAACTGACTGTGGCCCAAATGCTTCCAGACCAGTGACAGTCTTCTTCACTTTAAATGAGTACACACCTTTGAATTAAATTGTTAACTGTAAATGCAGTTTGTGGTAACATACTGATTAACTTCCTTTGTATTTTGTGAAAAGCACAGAGATGTGCTCACTTAAAAGTAATGCTTAAAGCTCTCTTAAAAAAAAAAAAAAAAGAAAAAATTAAGTTTTCCCTGTTCTCTCTCTCTGCTCTGTTCAAACAGTAACACTTGTAGCTGAATATAACTGAGAAATAAAATCGCATTAAATTAATATTTGGTGCTGTGCACTTAGCATTCCTACATTAATTTTTATAGTCAGTCCTCTGTCTAAAAATTCTTCGTTTTCTCCTTGCAAACAATGATTGTTTTTCCCTTCCTCCATTTTAAGGAAAATAAAAGTAAAATCTGAAGGTAGTAATGACTTGATATTGATGCTATAAAGACTGCTCCACATACATGAGGTATATGTTTGCTATAACAGATGTGGCCTGTTCCTGAGATTTACTGATTTGTGATCTGTGAGTAACTTGTCTTTACCTTATCTTATTTTGTAAGAGCCACCTTAGTTTTTCCATTTCCCAGCCCCCCCCCCCAAGGAATTCTTTTCTTTTGGAAATACCCAGAAATATTTTCAGTGTCCTTTAGAATGAGCAAGACAACATCATTATCTTGTGGTTTATTTAGTAACATGGAGCTGAAACGGGCATATGCAGCATCATGTTCTCTATGGAATAATATCTATTTAAATGATTTGAATCTAATACATATTTACGTAAAAAAACATCTTGCCCTTCTCTGTACGGAGAGAAGGTGAACAAGCATAAATTTTATAATGTTCATTGCTTCTCTTGCACTAAATCATACTTAAATTGCAGAAGGTTGTTGGCTTGAGAGATGTGTAAAAAGTGCTTGGCTAGTAAAGTGAGGGTGCAGGGAGATTTATCTAATTTAACACGAAGAAAATGTTGTCAGCTGCACTGCATTGATACGGGATTGCCTAAATCCAAAAGTTGTACTTTAGATTTTCATATATGCATATTTGTAATATTTTCATGGTTATAATACACAAAGTACAATCCTGAAATGATCCATTAGTGCAGTGTGTATGCATGCTATATTTTTGGCTAATCTGATTGCTATTGATCATACCCAAGCCATTATCTAATATAGGAGTGGGATGGACACTGTGTCTGCTTTTCTGCTGTTTCAAGGCAGAACATACTTTATGAAG